CGCCTACAGCGAGATGGCCGTCAAGGAGTCGACGCCCGGCATGGAGGCGTTTGGCGACTTGATGGGCTGAGCGCCCGTCGTCGTTGTCGGCAGGCAGGAGGGGCGTGGAGGGAAGGAAGGCAGGCGGGAGGAAGACGCGCCCGCAGCGCCAGCGTGTGCGGGCGCAGCTGTTGGAGCGCCCGAGGAGGGGCCGCAGGAGTCGTTCTCTCAAAAGCAATGCATCGTCGTGTCTCTCGTGCTTAGGAGGCTGCTGGGCGAGTTCATCGGTTGCCGCGGGTCGGACTGCCTGGAAGCTGCTCTCCTCGGCTCTCGTGAGCGCTGTTCACGCGAGTTGCGCAGAGACGTCGTCAGCGACTCGGCCTTGAGACGGACAAAGCAAAGCGAACCGACGAGCGCGGCTCCTTCCCCTCCGACGCAGAGGCCGTCGACTCCGGCCGCAGCCTGCTCGTCTCGCCAGGTCTCTCTCCCTCACTTCGCCCTCATGTCGACGCCGACGATCGCACTGCCGCCACGGGCAGCTCACGAGCCTCCAGAGCCCTTGCCAGAGCTCCCGCCGCAACTCCTGCTCACGCTCCTCACCAACAAGGCCGCGCCCGACCACGACCGCGACGCGCTCGACGCCTTCGTCCTCAGCGGTGGAGCAGGCAGTGGAGGGGACAGCACTGGCGGCGTACAGGTCGAGGACGTCTTGAATGAGCTGCTCCCGGACGGTGCGGCTGCCCGCTTGCCTCCTCGCGACCACCGGCTCAAGTGGGGGCTGACCCGTCCCTTGTTGCCCGCCCCCAGAGGCCAGCTTGGCCCAGGCGCCGCTCGTTGGTCTCTTGCTGCGCGCCAAGATTCAGACCATCCGAGAGGAGGTCGAGGCGCTCACGAAGCTGCTCGAGACGGACCAGGACCCTCGACGGCTGGGCGAGCTGCAGGAGCTCATTGGCGTTGCGTCTGTCCTTCCCCTCGCGCTTCCACTTTTGCTGACCTTCAGCAACACACAGGATCTCTTTTCGCAAGTCACGGCGATTCGAGATGCCGCGACCGAGAGCGAGGTCGTCGTGCGCGACATCACGAGGGACATCCAGTCGCTCGACCTGGCCAAGCGCAACCTCGTCGCGAGCATGAACGCCCTCAAGCGCTTCCAGATGCTCGGTGCGTCTCCCCTTCCCCGCTCTCTTGACTCTCGGCTGACCAGACGCTTCCTCCGCAGTCAACGCCTTTGACCAGCTCACCCGGCTCGCCAAGTCGCGGCGGTACCGTGAGACGGCGCAGGCTCTTGCGGCAGTCAAGGAGCTCTCGGCCTACTTCAAGACGTTCTCGAGCGTCGAGCGCGTGTCGGCTGTCAGCCGGGGCGTCGTCGAAGTGCAGAACGTGCTCAAGGGGCAGGTCATGCGCGAGTTCGAAGAGGCGTGCGTGTATGCCTCGGATGATCTCCTCAGTCGCTCCCTCTGACTCGTGCGCCCGCAGCTTTTCGAGCGAGGCTGCACGGGTAGGGAAGGATGCTCAGCTGGCCGAGGCGTGTCTCGTTGTCCACGCCCTCGGTGACGAGGCCAGGTGCGTCGACCGCTGCTCCAGGTACCCAGCAGCCCCTTCCTGACGTGCTGAATCCCACAGAAACGCGCTCCTCAAGTGGTACTCTCTCCTCCTCTTGCGAGACTACCGCCGCATCTTTGGCTCGGCGTCCGAGGCCGGCCAGCTCGACAACATTACGCGCCGCTTTGCGTGGTTCCGTCGCGTGCTCAAGACCCACGAGGACGAGAATGGCGCGGTCTTTCCTGCCGAGTGGAAAGTCGGCGCTGTCCTCGCCGGTGGATTCAGCGAAGTGACCAAGTGAGCCGCCCCTCCTCCTCCTCCTCCGGGCCTCGACCGCCCTTATTGACAAGGCCTGTACGCAGGAACGACCTCAAGAGCGTCTTGTCCAAGTCGTCGTCGAGCCTCAACGTTGGGCTCCTGCTCGAGTCGATCGCACAGACGGACGACTTTGAGCGCGAGATGGCCCGCAAGTACTCGATGCCGTTCGAGGACGTCCTCCAGCTCTCGCAGATTACGTACGGCGTCAATGACCCGTCGGCCCTGATCACAAGCGTGTTCGAGCCCTACCTAGGCGTCTTTGTCGACGCACAGGACAAGTGCGCCTGCTGTCCCCTGCTCACCCCCTTGTGGTCCTCGTCTGATCGTGCTGACTTGGCCTCCTCGCAGGACGCTGTCCGAGATGATGCAGTCCTTCACCTCGTCGCGCATCTCCATCTCACCTTCTGACAACCCGTCAGCCGTCCTCCCCTCGTCGACCGAGCTCTTCTACTTTTACCGCGAGGCGCTTGAGCGGTGCGCGAAGCTCTCGACGCGCCAGCCCCTGCTCGACCTTTGCAAGGTGTACCGCAAATGGCTCAAGACCTACGCCGAGAACGTCCTCACCGCTGCGCTCATCAAGTGTGTCTCTCGCCTGCCTCTCTCGCTCGCTGGCGCTCAGCTAACGCAGTCACGTGTCCAGGTTCGACCGCAAGTCAAGCGAGGGCCGCCCGAACATGCAGGAGCTGCACACGGCGTGCCTCGTGCTCAACACGGCCGAGTACTGCCTCGAGACGGCGGCTCAGGTACGTCTACCCCTTCGCGGGCTCGGGCCAACCAGCTGCTCATGTGTCCCCGCCCGCAGCTCGAGGAGCGACTACAAGAGCGCATCCACCCCGACTTCCGCGACCGCGTCTCGCTCGAAGCCGAGAAGGACCTCTTCACAGGGACCGCCTCGGCCGCGCTGCTCGCCATCCTGCGCGAGCTCGAGTTCACCGCCGAGCCCTGCTTCGCCTCGATGGCTCGCAGCCCTTGGCGCGACGCCGAGTACGTCAGCTCGGAGAGTGTGTATGTCGGCGAGCTCACGAGGGCGCTCGAGACGGTCGTCGGTGTCGTGAGGGAGGGCGTGGAGCAGAAGAAATACGTGCGCAGCGCGTGTGACAAAATCGTCGGGTGCGTCGCGCTGTCTTCATTCTTTCTGAAGAGGGGGAGCTTCACTGACCGGTCGATGCGCGCGTACAGGCTCCTCCTTGCCAAGTTCACGCAGACCATCGTGAAGACCCGACCCATTACGCAAACGGGCGCCGAGCAGGTGCGTTCGCCGCGCACTCGACTGGCGTACTTTCGAGCTGACGCGACGACTTGCAGATCCTGCTCGACCTGCAAGGCCTCAAGCACTGCCTCCTGCACCTCGTCATCGCCCCAGGCGACACCGCGCCCATCCCGACTTCGTACGCCCGTTCCCGCGTCGGTTCTGCCGAGGTCACACTGACAGGTTCCACGACGAGCAGATACTCGCGCTACGTATCGCGCAACGTGCAGAACATCGATACGCTCCTCAAGGTCATTATGAGCCCCGAGGAGCCCGCCGAGGATTTTGTCAAGCACTACCTCCTCCTCATCCCGTGCCAGTCCTTCTCTGACTTCCAGAAGGTCCTCGAGCTCAAGGTGCGTGTCCTTTCTCGAGCTCAGGCGGACGCTCCGCTGACCAGGATTTGACCCGGGCGGCCAGGGCGTCCGGCGAGTCGACCAGAACAACCTGCTCGACATCTTCCTCGCCAAGACTTCAACGGCGACGGGCCTGTCTGACACGTCGTTCCTCACCTCGCTCGACATGGACCCCGGCTCCAACTCGCTCACGTCGCCCTCGGCATCGGGCCTCGCCTCGCCGACGAGCGCAGGGCCCAACCTGGGCCTCTTTGGCGGCTTTGGTGCGGCGGCTTCGTCGCTCCCGATGCTTCCTGGCGGAGGTGGCAGCAGAGACGGCAGCCGTGCGGGTACGCCGGGTCCGAACCGAGGCGGAGACGGAGGGGCGAAGGAGGAGCGAGCGTTTGCGAGGCTCGGGGCTCGCCTCGGGACGCGCTTCTTTGGCGGTGGCGGTGGCGGCGGCGGTGGTGGTGGTCAGTCCTAGACGTGCGTGTGCTGTGCTCAATCCCGTGTGTTGTACTCTTCTTCGCAACCCGCAGTTTCCGCCTTTCCCCCTGACGGCGGTCTCATCTCGGTCGATCGGCGACCTGGATTAGCGCGGGGCCGCCGCCCCTTGCGCTCTCCGCTCTCCGCTTTCCGCTTCTCACTCTGCTTCCCCTGCGCGATGCGACCAGTGTGCTTGCTTCTGTCGGGTCTCTTTGCCACTCTGGCATGCGCTCAGACCGCCGCGCCGTTCCCTCCACTCATCTGTGCGTTCGCCTCACCCGACTTGGCTCCTCGCCGCCCGCTGACCTTTCCTGCTGCGCAACAGACACTTACGACGGCGCTTCTGCCCCGTCCTCACTCCTCGACGCGATCTCGACGGCGGGCGCCAACGCCGAGAGTATCCTCGCCGCGTCCGGCACCGATACGGCGACCGGACTCGTCGGAGCCTTCCCGACGACGGCGACGGTGGAGGACACCAACTCGCCGGTCGCAGCAACGAGCGTGATGGGCTTCTCGTCTGGCAATCCGTACGTTGCGGCGCCGCCCGGGCACCCTGACGATGTGAGCTAACCCAACCTGCCTCTCCTTTTTCCGACTGTAGCGGCGAGGTCCTTTCGACGGCCACCCGCGCACCCTACACCAAGGTGGGCACCGTCGACACCAGTGTGGCGTCTGTGACGATGGGGCCGACGAGTAGCCCGAGCAGCGGCGCAGGGAAGACGGGTCTGCCGGCGAAGGAAGCGGTTCTTGCGCTGGCGGCGGTTGCGGTGGGTGTACTTGCTGGGGGAGGGTGGCTGCCGTGAGGCGGCATGCTGTTGAGCTTTATCTCGTCTCTGGGCAGTGTGCAACCCTGGGTTCGCGTTTCGTTGCGGATCGAGAGGTGCTCGAGGTACCTTGGCTTGAGGAGAGCTCGCCTTCTTCTTCCCACCTGGCGGCATCAGAACGCGCTTGTGACTCCAGACCTCGGCAGGCAGAGTACACCAAGATCGGGGTTGGGCGCCTTCTCTTTGGGCGGTCCCAGGGTGGCCGGGGAGCGCGTTCGCCTCAAAGCGCGGGGCGGCCCGGCGCGAAGCGCCGGCAAAAAGGGAATTTGACCACGATGGGGCTCGAACCCACGATCTCCTGATTGATACGAAAGCGTGTGAACGCAGGTCGTAGTCAGACGCCTTGCCATTGGGCCACGCGGCCAAGTTGCTTGAAGGCTCGGAGGGCAAGTGCCAATAGATCGTGCCCATGTGACTGCACTGCGCTGGCAGCTGAGAAGGCCGCTGCACCTGCTGCTGGGAAGAGTCGCAGGAAGGCAGACGGGCAGGGGAATAACATGCTGACCGAGCCGCAGCCTCATGCAGCTCGAGGCTTCCAGCGCCTGACTTGTTTGCGAGGTGAGCTGGCAGGAGAAGGTCCAAG